GAAAGGCGTACCACTGCATTCCTGTAGAAAATGTGGAAAAAACTGCTATTATCACTCCTTTTGGACTTTTCGAATTTCCAAAAATGCCTTTCGGTTTACGTAATGCGGCGCAAACATTCCAACGATTCATGGACTCGCTATTCAGGGATTTGGATTTCGTATTCATATTCGTCGACGATTGTCTTATAGCATCTGAAAACGAGGCTCTACATTATCAACATTTGGATACGGTTTTCAAACGTTTACATGAAAATGGATTAACAATTAATCTCGAAAAATGTGACTTTCTTAAGAGTGAAATAGATTTTCTGGGTTATCATACAACACGTCGAGGAATACGACCAACGGAGGAAAAGTACAAAGCAATTATGGAATTTCCTAAACCTACGACAATCAAGGAGCTAAGAAGATTTTTAGGAATGATCAACTTTTACAGAAACAATCTCCCTCATGCCGCTGAATATCAAACTATCTTAAACAACTACCTGCACGACTCTAAAAAGAATGATAATTCTCCAATTTCTTGGACAACAGAGGCCGAAAAAGCTTTTGATAAATGCAAGGAAAATATAATGAACGCAGTATTAACAGTTCACCCCTCTCGCACCGCCCCTTTGGCACTTATGACGGACGCCAGTTCGACCTGTGTTGGCGCAGTTCTGCAGCAGAAGTCAGGACGTAATTGGGAACCATTAGGATTCTTTTCAAAGAAATTAAGTGATACTCAACAAAAATACTCGACATTCGACAGAGAGTTGCTCGGAATATATATGGCAGTCAAACATTTTCAAAGGTTAGTCGAAGGAAGAGAATTTACTATCTTTACAGATCATCGACCTTTGACTTACGCATTTTCCCAAAAACCGTCATCTAATGATACGCCACGGCGAATACGACAACTGGATTTTATTTCACAATATTGTACCAACATTCAACATATAGAAGGACGTGACAATATTGTAGCAGACGCATTGTCACGGATAGAACAAATTGATGTGCCATCACCGATTAATTATGCTGATTTAGCAAGATGTCAGCATGATGACCAAGAATTATTACGACTTCGTAATAACAAGAATTTAAAATTTTCAAATATCAAGGTTCCGGGTTCTACTGAAGTCATCGCCTGTGACATATCTACAGGAAAAAATCGCCCCTATTTACCAGAAAAATTTCGGAGACAAATTTTTAATGTCATGCATGGACTGAGTCATCCTGGGAAGAGAGCTACTAGGAAAATGATAACTCAAAGATATTTATGGACAAGTATGAATAAAGATATAAATGAATGGTGTAAATCGTGCCTAGCTTGTCAAAAATCAAAAGTGCAACGCCACACTATATCACCTGTCGGGAACTTTATGCCATCTCAACGTTTTGAACATCTACACATCGATATTGTTGGACCGTTACCTGTTTCTCAAGGAAAGCGATATTTAATTACAATGATAGATCGTTGTACTTCTTGGCCGGAAGTATTTCCCGTTAAAGATATCACAGCCGAAACAGTAGCGCGCATACTGTATGAGGGATGGATAGCAAGATTCGGATGCCCATTACGCATTACTACGGATCAAGGTCGACAATTTGAATCAAGAATATTTGAATCACTTTCACAATTTTTAGGAGTACACAAAATTAGAACAACGCCTTATCACCCACAATCAAATGGAATGATAGAGAGATTTCATAGAACTTTAAAAGCGGCGCTAATATCAAGAGAATCTAATGCTAATTGGATGAACGAAATTGCTTCAGTTCTACTTGGATTACGAAGTTGTGTACGCGAGGACACAGGATATAGTGCAGCAGAGATGATATATGGCGCACCTATAAGGCTTCCCGGAGAATTTTTTGAATCGTCACAGCCTTCGACATACGAAGAATTTGTCACAAATATACAAAAGGACATTTCTCGTATGACATCAACATCAAAACGCAAGAAAATTAAACAAACAGTTTTCATTCACCCCGAGCTCAACAAATGCTCACATGTATTCGTGCGCTGTGACAGAATAAGGAAAAGTTTAACACCACCATACGAAGGACCATTTCTAGTGACAAAGAGGATAGATAAGACGTTTATCATTAAAATTGGGGACAATGAAAAAGCAATATCTATAGACCGATTAAAACCTGCATTTGTCTTCAATAGCGGAACGAACGTGCCAAATTCAGAAAATAATCACAACGGGCGGAACACGTACATCACGAAGTCAGGACGGGCGGTTAAGCCGACAGTACGATTCGTCACTTGCTGACACAAGTAATCAGTCCATTTAAATACTCACCGTATTTTGAAAATACCATCATATACCGTCAGTATCTACGAGAGAACAATGGGCAACCAAAGCTCCAAAGATCAAATCGTATATAACTCCGACAGTTGCCTTAATCAAAATGAAGCCGACCATCTCAAAAGTCTTGTCCTGGAAGAGCTACGGTGGACGAGAAACATTGCAATTGGACAAATCCTCATCACAATTGGCATCCTTCTTCTCTACGGAATACTGAAGACCTTAGACAGAAGAGTGAAAACAATAGCAAGAAACAATCAGCACAAATGCAGTGGATAGTTCATCGACTGCCGCCGCCGTCACAACAAAGGCAGCAGTTTTTATTTCCTTCGAATTAGCAACAATGACATTACATTACGCATAGGATGTAATTTATCAGCAAGGTTAAGTTATTATATAATTAGGTACATACTAATTTTTTTCAATTTATATGTTAATTATTTTTAAAAGGGGGGAGTATATGTAGCGGCACTATCACGTCGCTACATTACTTAGATACGATAGAGATAAGACATACATGTTAATTGTTGCACGTTTGTTAGGATAGCTAAATCTGAAAATCTCACGCATCTTCTTAGTATATAAGCACCAGCAATTAAAGTAATAAACAGACCTTAACCATCTACAGTCTCATTATTTACCTTGCCACGAAGTCTGGCAAATGGTCTATTCACCAGGAAGTTATGTAATTCCTTCTTTAAGCTAGCCACTCTTTCAATTTCCCTAATTGGTTTAGGAAGCTTATTATAAATTCGTCATGACATTCCGAAGAAACTTTTAGAAAGTAAGGCTGTCTTTACTACCGGGACTCTTATTCATGAGTCGACTAAGCAAAGTCGCCATAAGCCTGTAAAGCTTCTCTCTTTTAATTCCCGTCAGTGAGTCGTTATCTATACTATTATTATAAAGTTGAAGAGTTTGTTTGAACGCGCTGGTCTCCGGAACTAATAGTTCGGAATTGAACAAATCTTTTTATGTTGTATAGTATACTTAGTCGGGTCATAAGTTCTGTCAAAACCTTATATTTTTAATTTTCGATTACTGGCCAGAAATTCTTCGACTTATTTTAAAAATAGAACTTTCGCGCTTGTAGAAAATAAAAAAGAAATTATTTTTTATTCATTTTTAAATATGGAGTGGTCGAATAAAGAAGACAGAATCGCGGTTATCGCGTTGCACCGCTGTGGTTACGCGCCAAAAGACATTTTCAATATTCTTCAAAATTTGAAAATAACGTTACGGTTTGTTTATCGTACTATCAAACGATACACCGAAGAGTCAAGCTTCGAAGATCGTAAGAGAAGCGGCCGACCTCGCACAGTTCGGACACATAAGGTCATCAAAGCAGTGAAGGCGCGAATCGAACGAAATCCCGTACGTAAACAAAAAATCCTAGCTCTGCAGATGGGGCTAAGCAGAACCACTGTTAAAAGAGTACTAAATGAAGACCTGGGACTACGAGCTTATCGTAAAAAGACAGGACATTTTTTGAACGAGCGTTTAAAAAAAATTAGGCTAGACAGATCCCGCGCTTTGCTACGACGGTACGCGGGAAAAAAATACCGCGAAATTCTTTTTTCGGATGAAAAAATTTTTACTATTGAAGAAAGTTTTAACAAACAAAATGATAAGGTGTATGCCCACAGCAGTGAAGAAGCAAGCGCGCGTATTGCGAGGGTCCAGCGTGGGCATTACCCTTCCTCATTCATGGTTTGGCTTGGAGTCTCATATTCAGGCGTAACTGAGGTGTTTTTCTGTGAAAAAGGTGTGAGAACTAGTGCCGAAGTTTATCAAAATACTGTCCTAACAAACATAGTGGAACCTCTTTCTCAGACAATGTTCAGGAACAGGCATTGGATATTCCAACAGGACTCTGCACCGGCTCATAAGGCACGAAGTACGCAAGACTGGTTGATCGCTCGTGGAATTGACTTCATCCGGCATGAAGACTGGCCCTCTTCTAGTCCAGATTTAAACCCACTGGACTACAAGATATGGCAATATTTGGAGGAAAAAGTCTGTGCTAAACCTCACCCGAATTTGGAGTCTCTCCGAGCATCTCTGGTTAAAGCAGCGGCAGACATAGATATGAATGTGGTGCGTGCAGCGATCGATGACTGGCCGCGTAGATTAAGGGCATGTGTTCAAAATGGGGGAGGGCATTTCGAATAATGTAAATAAAATTATATTGTACATTTAATGACCTTTCATTTCATATATAATTTTTAAATAATTGTCAAAAGGCGTATAAGTTATTACATCAAAAGTTTGTGACAGAACTTATGACCCGACTAAGTATATATCCATTTATGGAGTGTCTTGCTAGTTCTTCTCCATTCGAATCAACAATTTGGAACGAGCACCTAGCTTCACTAACGAACAGACTGACAGACTACTATTCTATTTTGACGTTTCAAAAGTACCTATTTATGGTTTAGTTGGAATAAATGATTTTGACCATGACTACTAGCATAACATTATAAAAGTAGCCTATGTCCTTTTCCGGAGTGTGTCCTATGCCTGAGCCAAATTTCATCTAGATCCGTCAAGCCGTTTTGGCGTGATTGAGTAACAAACATCCACACATCGTAACTCCACGTGAAACCGTCCACATCGTGCTTCGACCTATTGGAGGCGAGCGGTGGGTGAAACCGGATGGTGCTAACTTGTATTAAATGAAGTTATGATGTAATTTTTCCATAGGTTACGTGGATGTCGAGTATCCTCCTCTGTTCGAGGACCGCCACGCTGGAGACGACTACGGCTTCATCCAGTCCACCATATACACGGTCACCGGTATGTTGCCATATCTTTCTTTATATACATAATTCTGCTGTACGTGTTTATCATTGAACTCCTCATAAATGGCTTGACCGATTTTTTTTTAACGTTGCCCCACGCTAGGATTTTGAATGTTTTTTTTTGTATGCGTTTGAGTGGTGCCCTGGATGGTTTAGACTAGAGATGCAGCGAATAGTTATTTGGACAGATACCGGATACCAGATGTTCGGTCTGACCACCAGCCGAATGTTCGGTATCCGGCCGCCGAATACCGAACATTCGGCCGGCGCCATTTTGAGTTTCTTAGTGACAGTTCTTGGTAGATACTTTTATCGTGTCAGTCAGCACTAAACAATTTGGAACGTATTTTTAATTAGATTCTATTTATAAAATCAACCGAGTTTACTATCCGGTATCCGGCCTGATAGAACATTACCATCCGGTATCCGGATAGTGAAAAAGGGCCGGATAAGCCGGATACCGGATAGGAACCGAATATTCGGTGCATCTCTAGTTTAGATTCACAAATCAGCCCAACAGATGGCGCTGATAGCTTGGAAAAGCATGTGATTTCGGAAACGGCCTTAACGATTTCGCTGAAATTTGATATGTGGGGGTTTTCGGGGAGGGTCCACTGGTCTTCTATAAAAATCATCGTCCAGACTACACGATTCATCGTGTCCTTTTTTTGTGGGGGGTAAAATCATCAAATGACTTCTGCCACCAAGGGTGGGGTGAGAGGGAGTGTCAGACTTTTATCCCTTTCCTTCTCCTGCCACTGTCACTGCCAAAGTCTTTTGCGCTTGCCCCGCAACCCCGGCTGAACATCAGCCCCATAGGGCCTTGTCTGTTGTGGTCGTTCACCGTGCTCTAAGTCTGTAAGTTGCGATGGGTTGGGTGGTATGAGCGATGTAAGGCTGTTAGTGTCCCTAAATCGGCCGATCGAGAGTGCCCGACCGCTCTAAGTCCCTAAGTCCTGATAAATCGGTCAGAAGCAAGCGCAATAAAGTAGCCTCGGCCCGGAGCAGGAGAAGGAACGGAGGGTATTTAGTCAGTAAGAGTCTAACACTCCGAGACTCAGTAGTATGTATATATGTTTGTTCCAGCATGCGCGCTAATCTTCATGATAGCGGTGGTGCTGCTGGTGTCTGCGCTGTGCAAGATGCACATGAAGCGCGCCGCGCTGCGCAACTACGCGCGCGCCCACGCAGACACGCGGCGCCACTACTCCCTGCACTACGCGCAGGTAACTCGCTCTATCTCCCCCCTCCCCCCTCCCCCCAAGAAGCGCGCCGCGCTGCGGAACTACGCGCGCGCGCACGCAGACACGCGGCGCCACTACTCCCTGCACTACGCGCAGGTAACTCGCTCTATCTCCCCCCTCCCCCCTCCCCCCAAGAAGCGCGCCGCGCTGCGCAACTACGCGCGCGCGCACGCAGACACGCGGCGCCACTACTCCCTGCACTACGCGCAGGTAACTCGCTCTATCTCCCCCCTCCCCCCTCCCCCCACGAAGCCACTACTCCCTGCACTCCGCGCGCGCGCTTCATGAACCAACCGACCCACCATGAATTGAATTTAGGTCAAATCTCTGGGGAAGGGGCTTTCCCCCATCCGTCATCCTCATGCATCTACAACAAACGGCAACGTACTTCTGACTCCTACTTAAAAAAGAGAAATTTTCTCGTACATTATTGAATTTCCCACTAAAACGCTAGATAGCAGTGACGTTGACGAAATAAAAACATCAATGCACTATACTTCCTTATAACTCCAACCACCGTGAATACGACGGTAACCATAGCAACAAAAAAAATAAAAATTGACTTTATTTACTCAACACAGTTAAATAATATGAGATTTTCCCTTACAAAAGAATATTTTTTACACTATAATATTGTTATTTCCGTCCGACAGACGCACCGTTTCCCCCCCTGCTACGAGGCGTCCCGGCTACTGGAGCAGGACGCGCGTGGGGGGGACGCGACCCATGACGTCACGCCTGCGCAGGTACGTACTTTAACATACATACATACTAATCTAATAAAACAAATATACATATTCGAAGTATGATAGAAATCAGGGATGTTAGGAAGCATCGTAATAGTAACCGAAACTATCGAATATCCGATGTAAAAAAATATCCGTAATCGTAACCGGATCTGAAATAAAAGTTTCGGATAAAAAAGAAAGAAAAAGATTAGAATACAGTACATTAAGGTAAAAGTACCACATCCACACAGTGCGGCAGATTATACAGAAGACTGAGGAGTATAATCAGCCCCTGTGCCTAGCATTTGTGGACTATGAGAAAGCCTTTGACTCGGTCGAAATCTGGGCTGTTCTGGAGTCCCTGCAGCGATGCCAAGTAGATTGGCGATACATCCAAGTGATGAGATGTCTCTACGAGGCCGCCACCATGTCCGTCCAAGTACAGGATCAGCAAACAAGGCCGATACCGTTGCATCGAGGTGTGAGACAAGGGGATGTTATCTCCCCGAAATTGTTCACAAATGCAATGGAGGATATGTTCAAGACGCTGAACTGGAAAGGACGCGGCATCAACATAAATGGCGAGTACATCTCTCACTTGCGATTTGCAGACGACATCGTCATCGTAGCAGAAACGCTGCAGGACCTACAACGGATGCTGAATGACCTGGCTGACTCTTCTATACGCATCGGCCTACGGATGAACTTGGATAAAACCAAGGTCATGTTCAATGAACATGTACTACCGGAACCGATTGCAGTACACGGCGCTGTTCTCGAAGTCGTTCAAAAATATGTATACCTCGGGCAGACATTGCAGATGGGTAGAAACAACTTCGAGAACGAGGTGAATAGAAGAATTCAGCTAGGTTGGGCAGCATATGGAAAGCTGCGTCAGGTCTTCACGTCGTCGATCCCACAGTGCCTAAAGACGAAAGTCTTCAATCAGTGCGTCCTACCTGTCATGACATACGGAGCCGAAACGTGGACACTGACGGTGCGGCTGGTTCACAAGCTAAAAGTCACTCAGCGAGCTATGGAGAGGGCTATGCTCGGCGTTTCTCTGCGAGATCGAATCAGAAACGAGGTGATCCGGCAGAGAACCAAGGTAATCGACATAGCCCACCGGATTAGCAAGCTGAAATGGCAGTGGGCTGGCCATATTAGCCGAAGAACCGATGACCGTTGGAGTAGACGAGTTCTTGAGTGGAGACCGCGTCTCGGCAAACGTAATGTAGGACGTCCTCAGGCAAGGTGGAGTGATGATTTGCGCAAGATGGCTGGCAGGAGCTGGATGCGAGTGGCCGAAGATCGATCCCAGTGGCGTGCAATAGGAGAGGCCTATGTCCAGCAGTGGACTGAAAAGGGCTGATGATGATGATGATGATGATGACATTAAGGTGTTAAAAAGTATTAGTCTCTTGTATTCTACCGGTTGTAACCGGTGTACAGATATTAAACTTATAAACTAACAAAATTATATAATGCGATAGTAAATAAATTGCCAGAAAAATAGGGGTCGAGCTTAACAGAGACACGTTATGTTTATATTTAACTTTTGAAATGCCTTAAAATTTTAAACCATTTATTGAGATACACATACTTAAATTAGAAACAGACAGAAATAAACATTTTAATATCCGTGACCGAAATTATCCGAAACTAACGGATAATCCGAAATAATTTCTCATCCTTATCCGTAATCGTATCCAGTATAATAATCATTTCTATATCCGTGTACGAAATTTCATATCCATGACAACCCTAATATTAATGACAAACAAATATATATAGTAAATCTACTAGCGGACCCTCACGTTACAGCAGAATCCAAACTATTATTATAAATGGGAAAGTAACTCTGTCTGTCTGTCTATCTGTCTTTTCTTTACGCCTAAACTACTGAACCGATTTTTGGGATATTTGGTACAGACATAGTTTGGAACTCGAGAACTGCAGGAATTTACTTTTTCACGCGAACGAAGTCGCGGGTAAATGATAGTTATATATATATAAAGATATTCTAGGCATGATAGAAATGCTAACTATATGTCGCATGATGTTTCATAGTGTGGGACTGAGTGTCCCCCGCCGGAGCCGCCAGCGGAGCCCGAAGCAGGGCCGGAGCGCGGGAGCTTCGGTCTGGCCCGGCTATCTGCCATATTCTCTTCAAGATACAGACAGGTGAGCTTGTGGGTCCGTCTTTCCAACATATTATTCAAAACATTCGACACATATTGATACAGAATCAAATAATTGTGTTGATTAGAAATATCGTGTAATCCAAACTAATATTATAAATGCGAAAGGAACTCTGTCTGTCTGTCTTTTCTCTACGCCTAAACTACTGAATCTATTTGTGTCAAATTTGGTACAGACATAGTTTGGAATTCAAGAAAGGACATAGGATAGTTTTGAAACCAAAAATCTGCAGGAAGTCACTATTCCACGCGAACAAAGTCGCAGTTTTACCTGCTAGTCTAAGTTTAAGTGTAGGAGAGCCATGCTTCGGCACGAATGGGTCGGCTCGACCGGAGTGATACCACGGCCTCATTATTCCTTTTTGGATATTAAAAATTTTGTAATTTTTATTCTTCCCCTCACCAGGTACCAACACAAAGCGACGTTGAACTAACAAACGTCAGATCGACATCGCTAAACAACTCCCCGACAAGGAATCGAACGCTAGACAACTACCGCAGCCCGACCTTCTGCGACCTGAACGCTTCGGAATTTTACTTCACGAACCCAGAAACTGGGGATTTTGCTAGGGACCTAAACTATATGGCCAGACCGGTCGAGTTCGCGCGGAGAAGCTCAAATACCACTCTGGAGCGGGTTATAGACCAGCTGGACCGTCAGCGGTTGACCCTGCAGCTAGGTAGGTTCCAATTAACCATCCCCAGGTTCGGACGCCGCGCCGAGACAGACAGACGCCCAGACACGCCTAACGTAGCTGAAATCAACATCGACGATCTAGACTTTGTCCGTATGACGTCACATGACACTTACACCCTCAACGGACGGACTATACGCCTTTTGGGGGCGAACTTTGAGAATTATCCCGTCTTACCCGACGGCAGCAGGCCTCCCCCTTACAACGAGGCCATGAGGTGCAAATTCTTTGGACCTCCCCCAGAGTATTTAAGCAGAGAAGGTCTGAACTCCAGAGTTGATGAAGAAGCAAGGACTAATGTTGAAATGCCTCCTTGTTATGACGAATTAGGCGATGGGGCTAGTTCCAGTAACAACAACGCTGAACCGAACCCTGATACGGTAAGAGATAGAGCCATAGCAGCTACTTCAGCGACGGAAAATAACGATAACCTCAACAATAACGCTAGCACGTCGCAAACAACGGTTGTTGATAACGTTGACGCTAATATGAATGTACAAAGTATAAGTTCTATTATAAATAACTTGCCTGCTATCGATAGTGACGTCAACGCTAACGATACTAGCGTCAACTGCTAATAATGTTACAATAACAGTTTTATTAAAACTTTACACTTTTTGGTAATTGTAATGTTGGTAGCGTATCAAACTATACTTTATTAGGGTTTTCTTAAATGTTTCCCCCGAGAGATGGCAGCACTGTAGCTTCAGGTCCAAGCATATGTCGAAATATATTCGAGATGAATATGGTTTATTTTTCTTAAATAAAAAAAACATTGTAAACGGCATGTTTGCCATAATGCCACAGTGTTGTGTAAATAGACACGCATAGGTACTCTTTATGATCTCAATATTGCGATCGGAAAACTTTCTCTTTGGCCGTAATCCTTATAAAAATAAGATCGGTAATACTTCCATTTAATACATGAAATTTTGCTTAAAAATGATCCGTTCGGTAAGAATCTTTGCTATCTGACAGCTATTTGAATCTGATGCATTTTTTGTCGCCCTCTGGCGTCAAGATAAACTCAATATCGAAAAACCTCATTAGCCTTGCATCGAAGGGGCCTCTATGATATTTTTCTATGTATCTGAAGGATACAACTTACCTGTAGTTTCCATATGAAATGTACCAGACAAGGCATTTGCAACTTAAACATACAACTTCAAGTATAGCTGCTAATTAAATTTGAAAGTATACTTTGATGTGCTGCCATCAAAAAGACAAAGGATCAAACTTTTAAAAAAAATATGCGTTTTAACCAATTTTATAACCAAAGGTTAAAACAAAAGGTTAAAAAAATTAACTGGCAAAGATTTAACTGGTACAGTTAGAGACATGCTCTAACTGTACCAGTTAAATCTTTGCCAGTTAATTTTTTTAACCTTTTGTTTTCATCTCAGTCTATAAATTATGCTTTAAAATATTACAAGTTAAGCAGCTGTAAGTTAGGCCGCGAAATGGATGGGTGACAAAGTATAGAGTGTATAGTTTTAATAATACCACCGTATTTATAGATATAGTGCCTTAGATTATCTTTTAGTTACTTGGTAAGGTGATGGCAGTGGTAGACAATAATTTTGGAAATCTTTTAAAGATTTTTTATTGCTTCCCGAGGTGGGCAAAGATTAATTTTGATATTTTCAGATACAGCTTGTTGTTTGAAACGATGCCCAACTTTTAGTTTTAGGCGCATTCCAACTATGCGATTAATATTTTGAGTAGTTACACTGTACAGTTGACTCGCTCAATGGCAACTGGCTGCCGTGGGTTGAATGCCCGCACGGAACAATTCTTTGTGTGATCCACTTATAGTTGTTCCGGATCTGGATGTGATGTGTATGTGAAATTGTATATTTAAAAGCGCACCTAAGGCGCAGAAGTTAAGCACGGTTTTTAAAAATAAAATACAAAAATTTTCACGTTTTCAAAATTACTGTCTACTAGGCTTTCACCTTATTTCGTCACTGAATATACGATAAACAATAAAAATAGTTTTTAAAACAATCGTACAGTGCACCGTACAAGTTGTCACATTAATATTGATAGGAAAGCAAAAAAACTGTGATTCAAACTTTTTTGAGGGACTATAGATACCCAATGCTATGGCGATTTGACAGTTGATTTGTTCTGTCAAATGCCATTGTCATAATTTTTTGTATTTTATAATTTAGCTATTGACAGCAACGCTAACGCCTTTATTTCGTTTTTCGAAAACAGTATTATTGAGTTTTTCAATATTAGAAAAAAAAATTACTTAGTAGCATAAACATCTCAACAAAGTGACTTTTTTCTATCAATATTAATTGAAACCACTTTTATGGGTTCACTGTAATGATAATAATGAACAAAATAATCTATATAACTTTTGTGTTGCCATAATTATTTTATAATAATTGTCATAATTTTATTGAATAGCAACATTAGTGATACTCATTAATAAAATGTAAATAAATTAATTTTAGTTGCCTTTCGGTCTGTAAGTCGCTGCGATTTTTTTGTCGCGCGACTATTTTTATATTGGGTTTTCTTAATTAAAAATATCACAGCAATCTAGGTAATTTTGAAAGAATATCAATTTATTTATACTGATTGCCATTTTTTGACCATCCTCAATTTGTCCGCAAGAATCTTGGTTTACCAGTCGTGCGACAAAATAATCGCATCTTGACAACCTTACAAATTTATCTGCCTTATAGTAGTAGGACGTATTTCAGAGGGCATTTGTTAGTTATTGTTGTGTAGTTGTATATGTTTATTATATATCTTCACTGTTGAATGTTTTTGTCGCAGACTTCTGTCGCAAGTGTGTGCGGTTCACGTAGCTAGGTTCCATAGGCCAATGTTATAACTTTGCCAAGTGTCTAAATATTGTTGGGACAATTTGAAATAACAGTTCAGTGGTTTTTAATACCACTATCAAACTTGAGATCTTTAACACCCGGTTTTCGAAAGGCCAATCAATGTTAAAATCAATTTAATCTCTTATCAAGTCATCTGATTGGTTGACTGAATTATCAACAACCAATCAGATGACTTGACAAGATATTTAACAGGAGCCTTTCGGAAACCGGGTGTTAGTAATTTAATTTAATAAATACTGTTTTTTCAAATTGACCACAATCTAGTAATCCTTGCCATATAACAAAACACACACGACTTTTAGTCGCACACGCCATTATTGCGACAAATCGCTTGTATGTATCACATATCTTGTTGTTTAGCACAAAACAGATTGTTTTAAAATAATTCTTTGTATGTTGAAATGTATGGAAATTGAACGCGTTGAAATTTTCGGCTTTAAATGGAAGCCGAATAGTAAATAGGCCGAATATTTTGGAAATATTTTTTGTCATTTTTTATTGAAATCAACTCATGATATAAAATCAATTTGGCAGCTATAGTTACGCATTGTATCTGTGATTTTTTTTATATTTTGTTTTAAACAAAATATTTTCGTTTTCGCCGAATATTTAGATTTTCGTCTTTGACAAACTATTCGGCCTTAACATTTGCGACTTTTAGTTATTAACTATAACCTTGCCTTCTTTGTATTATAATTATCAAATTGTTAGTACTTAAGTACGTATAATTATTACAAAATTAAGTGTTTACATCTATTTAACATTCATTGAAATGAAATACCTAACTATTATTTTTAAATCAAGTATCCGGCTATACGGATATTAAGAATATCCAAAAGACGGATATTCGTCAATTATTTTCTTTTATAAATATGTATTTACAATTTATTGTATGCCGGATATGAATGCGCACCTAATTTCGTCGATTTCTTTATCCGAACACGATATTAGGATTAATTATAATAGTTATGATTGGAAATCATATTTTTAGATGGTAATTAAAAATGGTTTTGCTGTTATATTTAAAGGATTTTCCCTATATTGCTTTGATAATAAGAGTTTTCTTATTTTCTGTCAACTCGATCTGATACCACAGCCTTAGCGACTCTAATGGTCTGTACAATAGTACAGTTTAAAAAAAGCCTTCAAAAAACGTTGATTTTTCTCATATGAAAAAAATATACATACATTTGAACAAGGGAATTTTTGCAATCGTATTAAAAATCTCCAAATCAATAGAGGTGAAAATCGTTTGAATAAAAACAGTAAATATATATGTTTTATGAGAGTCGGGTGTAATTGTGTATGATGCAAGTTTGTTCTACCTCTGTAGCGTTAGTTTGTATAACTAAGTCCGACCAAATATGCTTTACTATATACTCATACTTACATTTATATGTTTGTATGTCATGTTGTAATATTAAAGGGTAGCGTCCAAGGTTCACGTGTGAACTACTCTCGTAAATGATTCTGTTTAGTAGAGTAGTTTTTGAATTTGCTATGAATGGAGCGACAGACAGATATCATAAAATAATTAATGATTATTTAATTTATAGCCAAAATGCATGTGTATTTTAGATTTGAGAAATTTATTACTATAATATTATCAAGAACTCGAAAAACATTGAATTGACATCGATTTATAAATCAGGTTGAGCGTTTAAAACAGCGCCATCTATTTGCTCCATATTTGGTTTTTCTGATTTATACTTGTTAATTTTAGCGCCATCTATTGCCAATGATTGAAACTAATTAATATTTTGTTTTTGTAGTAAATTGTAGAAAGGTATATTGTTTTACAATGTGACATACAAACACATTATAAATTATTCAATCTATATGTATAGTTTACGTAAATAGAATACAATATACGGTTTGTTTGGACTTACGCGCCTTTTAAAACAAAACATAAATTACAATATTTTGATTGTTTGTTTGAATGCGTTTATCTCCGTTATTACTGGTTCGGTTTTGACAATTCTTTTTTGTGTTGGATATTCCATATGTCGAGGAAGCCCTATAAAATATAAGACCTATCGGCCCCGAGTCGGGGTTGAATTCCCTCGGGAATTAGGTGTTATAATATTTTTAGTTCTTTTTGGATGAGAGGCGTGTAAGTTAAAACAAATTAAAATAAATACAACAAAATGTGGTACCATCGGCTTAAATCTTAATATTATATTAGTAGTCTAGTGAAATTGTAAATATTAATATTATATGTACGTTAGCTGGGGGCGGCAGAGTTATATGTTGTGTGTAGAGTGAGTTATATGATCCGGCGAGACAGTAGCAGACGGATTACCTGATGGTAATCAATCGGCGCCGCCCATGGACATTCACAACAAAAGAGTTACAAGTGCATTTCCGGCCTTTAGTAAATAATTTAGAGCTTTGAGGATTGGGCCTTAGATAGCCTCACTACACGGCGAAACACAACGCTGTTGTTGTTTTACGCTGGTCTTCTTTAAGACCGTGGTAATGCTTCAGTAGAAGTGCGACAGCTTGAAACCCAGCGTGAAACAAAGCTGGCGTTGTATTTCGCCATCTTATTGGTTATCAGGAGCCCAAATCTCCGCCTCCCAACATCTAGATCCCGAAATCTACCACTTACTGTCCTGCCAAGGTTTCCTCTCACTCTTCTGGTGTTGCGGGTGTCCATGGACGGCGCTAATTGCTTACCATCAGGTAATCCGTCTGCTAGTTTGCCGACCTAA